CCTCGCTAAACTATGATGTCTTTGACTGGACTACGATACGCTAACGATTGTGGCCTGGAAGACTGCTTGTTGATGTGGTGCTCTGTCCTACTCAGGACTGCAGATCCGATGCCTCCTTCTTAAATCGAGTTTTATTCATATAGGGTTTTGGGAAAAGAAAGGACGATGGATGTGCCGCATTTCTGCTTCATTATGAACATATCCTCACTCAAACCACTCTGGGTCAACCTTGTTAGGACGTGGTGGACCTCGTCGACCGCGATGGTCGAACTATCGTGCTTTAGAATTCCTAGCCAAGTCTTTTATCGGATTTCACATAGTGCTTTTTGATGCAAGGAGTCCCAAGATTCTGACTTTCAAGGTACGCATGGCGTTGTATTAGCGCCTCACGTAACTAGTCAGAATCTTCGTGCGCATTTGTATCTCATCCAATAGTTCGTGTTTTAATCGATTTTCTATGCAGTATTCGCAACATTTGTGAGATTGAGCTATACAAATTTCTGCTCACAAGGAAGTCCTTTTCGTTAAACCTACACAAGGCTTCGGTCTTGAGTGTAGGCAGGACGTAAGATGTCGATGTTTGAAAAAACCTTTCTATAAAGATGAAAAACTCGCATTGTCATTATTCATATTTATCACTGCGTAGGACTGACCTTCGAGGATCTGACCAGATCGTAGAACGGAACCAGATATTATTGAATAACTTTTAAACTGCAGGTTTTTTTAACATGATTGCGGCGTGACGGACGGAGACGGTGAATAACCAGGCCGTGGATATTTAAGCCTCTAATTTTCCAGTCGGTAGTCAAAGTGTGATGTCAGTGCGTCTACTTTATTTCGTTTAAACAGACCAGACATATATATTTTGAGCACGCAAAACTGTGCCTAGGAGTGGTAAGTACTTACTTAACTGCAGCTAACTGACATTTGTGGATATGCAAACCATGGCATCCCTTAAATTCCACCGTACACACAACCAAGGAGACTTATAATATGGAAAAGACTGCTGGAATGGGTTGATTGCTGAACTGTTTGAGAAAGCTTGACTGGAAGAGACACCCTCAATAAAACTAGACATAAATAAATGAACGATTGTTGGTAATCTCTATAATTAAAAAATGCACAAAATTACCTTGGGAATGACGGAAATATGACAGAAAGGAAGCCGTTTGATCGTCAAACAACAACAACTTTAATTCGAACTTTTAAAAGCACACTATCGATTCTGAATAACAGGAGAAAACGTGGTGGGCTTAAGTCAGCCGTACGTCAGACAATGTTAAAACGGTTAGTGTTAGTCGATCTCGACATAGTTTCATCAGTTGAGCAGGAGATAGGCAGAAGATGAAAAAAGACAGCAGATTCCGTTGGTCAGTACACGAAACGTGTTGATACTAAGAGGCCTGCGCCGATATAATGTCTCCTTTTAAAGCGTTTCAGTTGTGCCCAGGGGGGGAGTTGTGAAACATCGAACGCTTTTACTGACTGGTCGGTTAGATCCTAAGGCAAAGAAGCGTTTTGCTTTAACGTACTAAAATACGCCTACAAACGTGGACACAACTTTGAGAAATTATCCTGTTGCAATGCAGAACGTTTCGTTATATTTTGTATGTAGCCCCTCCTCTCTTTTTAAGGAAGCCCTCAGTAGACTCCCCGACCGACCTGAGTGAGACGACGGCGGGTGAACCGGATGTGTGGAAAGGTCTGGAACTTAAGCACAGGTCGTTTGCAAAGCGAGTCGCAAAAAAGCGCGTCTGATCAATTCGCCTTCTTTGTCATTCCTCGTCCGACTGCTCTGTTTGGTGTTCATTTTTTACCATTAATCTCGATAGGCTTTTGATTTCCGCTTAGACAGTCGTCCGTCCCGCATATCGTGTAACGTAAAAAATTGGTGTCTAGCGGGGGAATAATTGATTCCAAGAACGATCAAAGTGACCAGCAACCCCTTGGTTCTGATCCCGGGGCATCTGATCAGCCCGTTATTACCTCCTGCGTTTACCCGAAGATCGAAATTGAACCAGACCTTTCTCGCCCAACCCTCCGTCCCCTAACTCCATCCATCCCGGCGACGATCATTCGCTATGGGCGTTCTGTGACCAAAACTTCCCGTGTGGCGTCCTCCAAAAATACGTAATCTGACTATTGGACGACTCGGCCGTTCGACAGCTGGTAGCCAGGGGTATCTTATTGGTTACCCCTGTCACCGAACTGTGCAAGACCCAGAATGACCATTTTGACCACAGGCGGTCACCTGCCTTGGCATTAGAGGCCTCCAGGGGTCGGCGACAATTGGCGGCATAGTTGGCTGAAACAAACATAGGAGCTCTGCGCGAGCTGGCACTGCGAGCCTTCCCAGACGAGTCTCACACCCTGCGCGAGGCTGAAATACTAAAGAAGTTCGTGACTGGCGTCTGGAATCCCGAGCTGTACTCGAAGTTCGTCTGAAAACAATACTCTCCATTGAAGAGGGCACTGGAGGTGGCACGCGGATACGAGGCTGTCGAGGTGGCTCAAAGACGACTCGCTTTCGCCCACATTGTCTCGGTGTCGGAACTCGTTCTGTCGAGCTATCGGACACAACTTCGTTCTGTCCGTCATCGCCAGATGTTCCCGGCCAGCTGCCTTTAGTGTAGCCGATTCGACAGACGGGCCCAGCGCTGAGGTTACAATCCTTCACTTCGCCCTCAACGGACTCCTGTTAGGCCCGTTTCCAATGCTGTCAGATTTGCGTACTTGATCGTGCTTTCTCGCAACACTTGCTCATCTCTCACCATTCCTGGCACTCCTAATGACCATAAGGTATGGTTCTTGCTTGACACGGGAGTCACTTGCTCCGTAGTTTGTTCAGATTTTTGGTGAGTTAATTAAATGTCCTCAAAATACTACTTCCACTATTCGGCGGTTAACGACTCTGTTATCCACCCTTAAGGTCAAGCACACAGTACCGTGACCATTTCCCATTTTGCCGGGGAGCAGCACATGTTCGTACGTGCATGTATCCAATGGGCCAAAGTCCTGGGCAAGAATTTTTTAGGTTGTCACCACGTATCCATCGAGCTATCTTCCCTCAGCATCCGTTTGGGTGGCGTCGAGGTTTTTCGCGCAGATGTTATTTCGGCGATTGCTGTCGGACCGTGACGGGCTTCTCCCTTTTCTCAGTCTAATATTAGTGAGCCGTCAGGGCAAACTCTTTTTCGGCTCCTAGAAGAGTTCTCTACTTAGATGTCAACAACCGGTCCTTAGGGCGCACGCACATTCTACAGCATTCTATTGACACAGAAAACTCTCGACATATTCGCAAAGCGCCCCGACACATCCTCATGAACTCCCAAAAGGATATCGAGAAGATGACTCAGAGCATGTTGCATAAACATGTTATTCGGTTATCCTCCTCCCCCTGGACGTCCCCTGTTGTCCTCGTTAAGAAGAAGGACGGCATCCTGCGACCATGCGTCGAACGCCGTGGCTAAATATGGCTTCGTTCCGTTTCCTCGCATCGTCAACACCATTGATGCTGTTTCCGGGGCGATGTACTTCTCTACCCTGGACCTTGCGTCCCGTTACTGGCATGTGGACTTTCACCCAGACGACCAGGTGAAGACGATCTGTGTGGTGCCGTCTGGTATTTATGAGTCCCGTGACGCCTTTTGACCAAGCGAACGAGCCGGCCACATTTCAATAGCTAATGACGACAGTACTGAGTGATATAACATCGACAGCTTGCCTGATTTACCTCGACGATATCACTGTCCATGGGGAATAGATTAAAAAGCACAGTACACACCTATGGGAGGTTCTATAACGGTTGATGGACTTTGATCTCGTGTTGCAATCGGGCAGGTGCAGGCCTCTTGAAAAGCAGAATATATTCTTTGAGTACATCCCGTAGATTTCAGGCATACACCCAGACCCGAACAGGATTTCCCGCATGCTCGTGCGCCAGCAAGTAAGTCTTATATTTACTCTAAATTGTTAAGGCATCCTCTGGTATTTGCCCGCGTAGATGCTGTCTGTAGGCAACTACAGCGACCCTATGCGTGAATCATTGCGAGTCCTATGGCACACGAACAAGCATTTCACAATCACCCGTGGCGAGCCCACGAAGGCTGTTTCAATCTAACACTCGAATCTGGTCTATACCGGGCCTCTCACGATCGCTCCAACGGCTCAGCCTTCTACACCAGCTGCGGTGTCTGCAGTAATTTCCCTGCCTTCGCTTACATCTGATGAACCTGCGCATTCCCCCAACCCCCAACTCTACCCCCTACGCGCAGTGGCCGTCGCACCCGTTACCCTGATCGTTACGAACTTGCATATTATGTCCAACACCTGTGTATTTCACTCTCATTTCGCAATTCCGAACTCCGTTCTCCTGGACGGAGGAGTATTGTAGTGACACAAAGCGTCTTATTTCAGTGGGCTAAAATACACCTGCAAACTTAGACCCAACTTTGAATAACAATGCTACATCAGGCTACATCGTTGTGACCAAGTTATCTCTTCTGATTTGACTGACGTATATAACCTGCGATCATTTATTGTTTAAGCCCATGGATAGGCCGATGTTTATTCTATAAGCTCATGAGGTCCGCAGAGATGGCACTGATATCGGTCAATCATGGAAACTTAGCGATGACCTGACATGCAGGATAAACGTTTATTAGCGAGTTGTTTACAGACTTTCTCTAGAGGAGGTGGCTGGGAGATGCAGTCTGTCGTCCAAAGTGACAACCGCTTTGAAACGGCCTTGAAACAAACTCTACTATCGGTTATCTGTCAGAAGATCGGGTAACTATCGAGGTGGCGGTATTGAGGCGGGATAATTAGTGCAACACTGCAACACTCGGGTCTTCCGTGTAAAACACACTTAATTTTTTGTAACGATTTGAATTCTCAATGATTCAACCAAGCCGATAGCAATAATAATATGTTTAATTATGAGATGTTGTTGAGATTTTTGCCGACAAAGACTTCTTAATATCAAGGTGTGCGTAATTTGTCTAAGTAATGGACGGACACAGTCTTCTTAGGCCAAGACACTTCTCGTTATCAATGAAGATGCTGTTTAGTTTTCGCTGAAGATCGCATTCCAGGAGCCGTTTGAAACTGAAGAGTGATTGCAGAATCTTCTCACTCTTTCTCAATGCTGATTGCAAACTTTCCGTGGTTTCACCAATTTCAGGCAGTTCCTCCACCAACCTTAATCAAGTGAACATGAAAGGGTTTTTCACATGCACATATATGTCTGTGTAGGTGTTACACAAAGATAGAATAGTTTAGCTATGTTAGTTGACATTTTTAAATGAGTCCCAACGGCTTTTTGGAAAATCATGACTAGTAAGCGGTGGTCTTTTAGTAGCTTATTTATGTAAAATTTATTTTTACGGATTGTTTTGAGGAATCTACTATGTCGAGGTTTTTGCCAGTATCAATGCGCCTAAAAGGCGGTAGGCATTAATTGAGTTCCGAGGGCTATCTTAAAATGGCAACCCTCGTGAAAATGACTGAACTCAATTGATATATCAATAAAAAAAATATCATAACTTAGTAAATAACAACAAAAGATCATTATAGGGATCTTCCTCATCTATTTTTATGGGACGTCTGTGCTCCATAAACTACCCGAGGTGGGTGAACACACAAATCCGGTCTTTTAGACTTATTGAAATCTGGTATTGGACTATGAAACATAATTGTGATGATTATTCAGGTAGTTTATTGACTTGAATGTTTGAGTTGTCCAAATTTTTTCCGTTCCATCTAATTCGTCTGACCAAAAGCTGTTCTCTACTAAGTTTTCATGCTATTTGTGACTTTCATTTTCCTAATAATCCCCTGTTTAGTTTTTCGGCGTACCTCGGTAGTGTCCTCTGCGTATTTGCCGAAGTTATGAGATAATTTACTGTAAGGCAAGCTTTGCTTGATATTTAGAGAAGAGATTAGAATGCGAAATCTATTTATGAATAAGTGTCTGCATACTCTTTATCCGTTTGCTTTTTGACTTTATTTATTTAGCCTACCTTGTGTAAGCAGAATCCCGACAGTTCTCATAACCTGCACGGTTCAATCGTAGACTCAGTCGGGTCTCTGCAACTCGCCTCGGCGCCTCTTTCTCTGCAATGCACTTCTTTAACATTTCGATGTTACCCTCCACTTCCGAAATCTCAGTCATAACCTGTTGGGAAAATGAGACATCCAATTTACCGCTATGTTAACGTCTATATTTTAGATTGGTTCCACAATTTATGTAAGAGCCTCACCTTTTCAAGGCTTTCTACGATCTCGCATCTAGCTGTCGTCACCTCACGGATGCGGGCTGAGAGAGCGGCGCTAGCTTCTGCCCATCCGCTGGCCAGTGCGTTCACAGCCGCTCTCATGTAACGTGTAGTTTCCTCTCGTAACTTGGTGCTTACCTGGCGACATTTTTTGGACTCCTCGCAGTTCTTACTTGTGAACTCCTTCCAAGTTAAAGGGACTGTGCAGCTGCGGATGGCAAGATGTTGAAAGTTAACGAACGGAATTTAGGAATCTAAAAATTGAATACGCACAGACAGGTTAAGTGTGATTCCTCGACCTTAAATTTCTCACCGCCCGAAGGCTGCTTAAGCTGATCAGCAATCATGCGGAAACAATGATTTACAGTTCTTTTAGAGTTGGGTTGGCCTATGTGTGCGATCCGTTTTAAAAGTTAGGCTCACAGAAATCCACAATCTGCAAAAACGGTCCCCACCTATCGATTGCTAGTGGCGACCAACATTTGAAAAACGCTTTCACCTCCTTGTAATAAAACGTCGTTTAAGTAACTCTCCAAAATCGTGATAAGAGAGTAATTTCATCACCATAATTTCAACCATGCGGACGACCAACAGACATCAAGATAGTTCTCTTCAATCAGACGTACTTCGATCACCTACTGTAAGAAGCACTGGATTTTGACATTCACGGTTTACAGTCAAAAATTCAAATCTAATATCTAACTAACGTTGTTTGTTGTCGTACACATTAGTCCCTTAAAAAAGATGGATGCTTCTGCCTGCAAAGTGATTTCGTGGGGTCCATTCGACGGTTTGGAAAAGCATGCGCCATTGATAGTTGCTTTTCAGTGTGTTTTTCCCTTGAGTCTCAAAGTGGTCCTTTTATCTCACATCAAAACTATGACAAAAGAACTTTGTGCGTACCAGCTTTGCTATAGTAAATACGGTTCCTATCCCTGAGCTAAGCTCATGGGGTTCACTCGACGGCTTGCATAAAAGTGGGTTTGTGTCTAGATACCTGAATATCTATTTGTTATTAGTTTCTGCATCCAATTTCCTCTACCTAACTTAAGCTACACAGCCCCCTTGATATTTGCTTTCCAGTCTGTTTTTCCTGTGAGTCTCAAAGTAGTCTTCTTATCTCGCATCAAAACGATAAGAAAAGATGGAAGGGAGCGCTCACCGATCGTTCTTACGGAACACACTCGTTTCATTGTGCCCTACGGGCTCTCTCTCGAGTCCAACCAACAACCGCACAGCGGCGCATGATATAGGCGGTATGTCATTACCGACGGAGACAAGGGAGACTGAAGTGACCATTTCTGGTTTATTAGTCGTTGTCAGCCAGTCGACGGCTAGTAAGCCAGAAATGGCCATTCCAGTCTCCCTTGTCATTGTCGGCAATGACATACTACCGATAACTTTGAGCGTACTGGCTTCGCTATATTAGCTGGCACCGACGAACAAGCCAGAAGATGACCCTATTTTCGGAGTGAATATAATTTCACAGCACCTGTGCTTGGCTTTCATCACTCTGTTGAGAGGTTTTGAAAGGCTCTTTTTTGTCGAAAAACAAATCCCCATAACGGAAACCTCCCGCGGCTGAACATCGGTATTAGTGTAAACGATTTATTTACTGACGAATGTTTGGTTTAGCAAAAACGGAGGTGAGTTCGTTTAGTTTCGTTCCAACGTGTCCACCTGTGGGGCAAATTTTCGCCGGAACCCTTCTTCGAAAACTGAATTTTTAACTGATACTTATAGAGGCCAATCTCAGGGTCGAAATCTGTTTATTTTGTGTGTTCACAGATCAAACTCAGACAATTAAGGCTTGGATGGTTTAATGGACTGGTACTACTCACTGGCATGCGAATAACGGTATGTCTGAGTAGCCAATAGCGGGTTAAATGTCAGTTTTCGCATTCTCGGCCGATTTTGCGCTTAAAAAGCAGGAAGGATGATAACGCTGGAGTTTTCACTATGTCTTCAAGTCTATGGCTCAAAGTAGCACAGAAAAACTTAAAAAGTACGTAGTCCAATGGTATTATCGAAGTATAAAATGCTATAGATCAAACCATTTGTCCACGAGCTCAGTCGCACTGTAGCTGCCAAGCTGTGGGGAGGAATTTTTGAGCTCTGCTGCTCTCACATCGATTTCCTGAGCAGAAAACTTGCCGGCCATATCCTTTTCCAGAACGTGTTTCGCCTCCCGTAATGACCTGAAATTTCACACAGTAATGCCTTTGGTCATGCCCATCATCTGATTGATACATAAAATTCCTTCGTCGTAAATTATGGCGTCTATCTCTTCGTTTTGTGTTGTCTCTGGCTCAGTGTACAAAACCTGCAGGGCAAGCACCACAGGCGTTCTACTAGTAAGCATTCGTTTTATTCACTAGTTTTTTCGACGATACTCGAAACTCTGGGAAAGTCCGCGGTAAAATGACTAGTTCAGTTATTTTCGGAGCATGGCTCAAAACTCCCCGCTAATTGAGGTCGTCTTTTACTTATGATGATTCCTTTGGTGAAAACAAATACGAATTTTAACTCAAGTCTATCAGTTCTCAAATGGAATTCCTGAGAGTAACTGCTTTGTAAAAATACAAAAAGAAAGCCCCAGTCATTTATTGCATATGCTTTAATGGTTTGCTGCTTGGCGACAGCTACAACCAACTCAACTGTTCATTCGTTACAAGTGACTAGGGCTATTAATATCCAGAAAGCGCAGTAAAAATGTACGAATTAGTTGAGGTTCTTGCAATTGACAGTTTTTCCGCATTTACTCCAACTTCGCTTAACGTTCAAACTACCCAAATGACAAGGCAGTGGTAAGAGTTCTGGAAGTAGACCTGATTGCACTGGTCAACGAAGCATAATCACGGTCTATGTGTACCGCACACACACCGGTCCCCGCACGAACACGAACCAGTTTAAAAACAAATTGATCCCGAATTCATGACTAAAGAGTATTGTTGCGAAGGTCAGATTGCATAGAAATAATTGTAAGATGGCTCATAGTTCGAATGAGGCCGGTGTTATTCCATCAGTTCCCAAAGTTCAAAGCCCTGTCGCGATTGCTTAAAGCCAAGCAGGTTGCTTACAGCGAGGATACAATGGATCATATAGAAGCTAGGTCATCCTGACAATCTCTTCTCCCTCCAATGTATCAGTGGTACATCACAATTAAGGCGAATGCGGAGGAAGATTAGGCGCAGTGGCTGGTGTTGTCTAAGAACTTTGCCCGACACAGTTGCCCAGACATTCACACACACAACATATTGTCCGTTATTATTGACGTCGGTACACCGTATCCCATGATTGTTGTGATTGAAGAATATAAACGGGGACATTTCTCCTGTTGAGTGGACAGAATGATAATGGGTTTTCTCAGGCCTTGGGGAGTGTCTATGGACCCCATGTGACATTTCCGAGACATTTGCGTGTATCGTGCATCCATCCGGTCAGTCCATCCCTGCGGTTGTTAATGCTGGACTGTGCGGTCGAAAGATGGACGAAAACATGAGGTTTTTAACTACCATTCCTTGGAGACCATTCTTCGAGTGAAGTACACCGACTTCTTCTCAAATGAGACAGACCGCACTCACTGTGACATCGTGGGTATATCCTAGGTCATCCAAAAAAGACAACTGAGATGGCTTTGGCACATTTCTCCTCGTCCACCTCACGAGCTCAGTACCGCTGCCCTTGAGGTTTCAAGGAGGGGATAAACTCAAGTTCTGTCTCGAAACAGTCCGTCGAGACATGGACGTGGTTCTTGGGCATTCGGTATTTGTCGCTGGCAAAGAATATTGGTTGACCTGTCCTAGGCTTCTCCCGCGTGGAGAGGGACAGTCCGTGACATCATCTAGGCTAGCTAGATCAAGCATGGCCACAGCCAATACCAAGTACAAGTATACTTCTGTGGATAAGTTCATACACGTGCATAATCGAATAGATCCACGCGAAAGTTAGATGTGCAGGTGTAGAACGTGAAGGGAAAACTGACCCGACGAATGTTGGCCAGAAGTCTCCATACCTGTTACAGTGGATTTTAGGTGTCAGAATGAGCTAAGGCATGAAAGGACCGTAGTCGCAGCAAAGACATATTAGCGCAGTTTCGGTGATGCTGGCGATAGACTTCTTTTCTGATAGCGTCCACATACAGTTCGTGACCTATCTCATGAAATGTTGGCTGAAATTGTGAAATGCGTTTTCGATCAGGAAGGATTACTTGGTCGCGGTTGTGATACTGACTATTTTAAGGCATACTCTTATAACATTTTGGACTCGGCAGACTGTCGGCTTTTAAATGCACTTCTTTTCAATCTCCTGTAGAATGCGTGCTTGGTAAAAAAATGACTACTTAAGTAGCATGCATTTTTCCCATTGATTTTCGATGGTCTTGGAAATTCAAATATCTTTTACAGAAACCACAGACAAAAATATGCTTTCTTTTAGTCAATCAATAGAGCATCACGTCTTCTTTGTATTTTATACTTAAGGAAGGCGTATAATTAAGTTTTAAAAAAGTTTTCCAATTGCCGAAGAATTTGGAGCCTGATCATTCGTTGCATTAGCGCTTAGTGATTACATTCTACAAGGTGCATGCGTTCGCGTAAAGAAAATCCCATATTTTTCTATGTCATTAAAGAGATTACATACAGGGTCCATAAAATTTTGCAATGGATGCGGACCATGTTGTATATCTCATGAGGAGCAGCGGTAAACGGCCAGGTGCGATGCTATGTGAATGGACATAGTGCGGTCTTAAAAAGTCTCATAATTAGAAACTTTTTTAAAACCTAATTATACTCCTTCCTTAAGTATAAAATATAAAGAAGACGTGATTCTCTATTGATTGACTAAAAGAAAGCATATTTTTGTCTGTGGTTTCTGTAAAAGATATTTGAATTTCCAAGACCATCGAAAATCAATGGGAAAAATGCATGCTACTTAAGTAGTCATTTTTTACCAAGCACGCATTCTACAGGAGATTGAAAAGAAGTGCATTTAAAAGCCGACAGTCTGCCGAGTCCAAAATGTTATAAGAGTATGCCTTAAAATAGTCAGTATCACAACCGCGACCGAGTAATCCTTCCTGATCGAAAACGCATTTCACAATTTCAGCCAACATTTCATGAGATAGGTCACTCACTGTACGTTGGTCCGACCATCACGAACGACGATGTCCCCTGTGTGTCCCAGGGAGTGAACGATGTCAGAAAATTACTTGCGCGTGAATTAGCTTATATTGAAGTAGAATAGGGCAGCCTCTCCTTCCTCACCCATCTGGGTCCGGTGGCAACACAACGCTATAATAACCGGAGGCATGCTCGTGCGCAGTGCCTGGCAGAGGTGAACAACCTGTGCCACCGGCGACCTGGTCACTCATCAGCTTGCGCCAAAGAACATGCTTCTCGCTGACGTGGACGGTGCACGCTCTCTCTGTGCTGTACGTGTTGTGGTGTGGGTTCGTGTGCGGTGTGTGCTGGTGGAGCGGGTTGTGGTGGCAGGGTGAAGTCTGCGATGTTTTGCCGAAGATTTTCATGAAGACACATATGGCTGGATAGGACAATGCTATAGTGGAATGTTCTTGGGCAGAGTGTGCAGGTGAAACAGGTCCAATGTATATGTACTGTCCTTCCCGACGTTAGTGCGATGGATCAGCAAGTGCCCCACCAGGCCGATACGTAATACAAATGTGTGGTGGCTAGTGAGCTGGTGGGGTGTCGGTGCCATTGGTGATGGCAGTATCTCAGACGACGACTGAGTGGGTACCTGGCCTTTGAAGAGTGATGGCCCAGGGTAAAGGCAGGGCTGCGTGTCACCCTCAAGGATTGTACGCGTCTGCTACCCCATGATCAGCAAGCCATGGCCCTCCTGCCGGTAGATGCGCTTGCGCTCCCGCTGGGCATATGCTCCTGTGCATGGCTGTCCAGTCATCCTCATATTTCTGATCCGTTTTGATGCTGTAGTTGGTTGAAATCCTGGTCAGCTGTTTGTTGTAGAACAAGGGGTGCGGGGATACATCCAGGTGCGGGTTCGGTTGTGTCAACCACCTGCACCCTTTCTCACCTCCGACCTTTTTGACTATGTCTTGACACCGAGTCCAGGTGGAGAGGAGGGAAGAACGCGGTAGATGTTGCCCATTGCTATAAAGTAATTCGTGCGCAAGTCACCGTTCCTGCTTCATCTGGCTGCGAAGCACACGCTGGGCGTCGCAAGGTACGACGGTTGAACTGTCGGTGGTGGAAACACCGGTGGTCGCGGAGTTGGTAGTGTTAGTGGTACAGGAATATTTATCTGTAAGTAGTTTTGTCGTGACAACGTTGTGGAGAATTCCACTATAACGGACAAGCACATAACCAAGTAGATCTATGCGATGTATGAACTTCCTGGGGTATTTTATGCAGATGAGACGTGCATGGCGGATGTAGGTCGTGGATAAATGCACGGGCTGTTCGGTTCTATGTGACGGATTTGTAGATGACCGTCCAGGTCTATGCTTGCTGAGACGATGAGATGGCAAAGGCGACGGGTTTAACATTGGTCCTTATTGGTGATGGCAGAGGCAGTGGCGATGATTTGTAGGTCAGAATTTATTGGGGCCAACAAATTTCGTGACGGCCCTTATCAAAGAAGCCTTACTTAATCGTGGTTATCCTGCACGCTTCATTCAGAAGTACAGCAACCATTTACGGCCAAAGTTGACGGAACAGTCCGTTCCGAAGAAGCCCGTTATAATATGTCTACCTTTTAAGGGTGACAACGTCTCAAACACAATCAAGCGACGCTTGCGTTGCACTATAGAAAGAACGTACAACGCAGCAGAGCTTATCTTCATCAGTTCCACAAAAAGCCTTCCAATTAACCGGGCAAAGGATGCCTTGCCAATGCACGCCACCCCCAATTGTGTGTATGAATTCACATGCACTTGCGGATGCAAGTACATTGGGCGAACGCAAAGGCAATTGGCAACCAGGGCCGCTGAGCATTTGCCTAATTGGCTTTTCAAACAGGAAAATAGAACCCCCCGTTCGTCTATACCGAAACACTTGTTAGATAGCGGTCATGTTGTCGACCCTAAAGCATCCTTTCGAGTACTTGTCCGAGCACGTACAACTCGAACCTTGGGTTATTTGGAAGCAGCCTACATACGGAGGGAGAAACCAGACCTGTGCAAGCAGTTAGATCACGTGATCAATCTGCAATTGCCCTGGTAATCTCACGCCTCTATTTTCATCTAACTGTGATTTGTTGTTAACATTTCGTTTTCCTTTTTTCCTTTTGAATCTTATGTGGACGTCTTAGCTGATTATTGATTATTTTGAACTTTGACCTTGCTCCTATGCACTGCCATTCTGTACAAATTCATACTGCTGTGCGCGTTCATTCGTTACCTATGTTTTGCAGAGACGGGTTGTAGTTGAAAAGCCGTCACGAAATTTGTTGGCCCCAATAAATTCTGCTGTACATGCTTGTTTTCAATTCATACCGGGGAAAAATGCTTCAGATTTGTAGGTCGGTAGGCGTTTCCGTCGTGGTGTTAGTAAGGTTGGTGTATTGCGAGATGAAGGGTGGGTGGGTCATGTTGACAGCGCATTGGGTCCGCAGATGTCCAACAAGGCCGATCCCTGCCCAAAATGCCCGTTGATAGTGTTTGACCGAGCAGGGCTTGAGTGCTGGCCTCATTAGTCCGCATTTTCGAGTCTTTCAGACCTCCCTTCTCGCCCTGGCAACGGTTATTCGGTTAGTTTCGAAGGCGGCCACTTCAGTCTTCACGACAGTGCACCATCCCTGTCGATCTTGAACGGGTTCATCCCAGGTCTCCTTGATTTGTAGGTGCCTAGGTGAGATTTCAAGCTGTCCTTGCAGCAATGCTTCTGGTCGCCTTGTCAACACATCTCTATATCCACGCCGCTATAGAATAGCCGTTTGGGTGAACGATCGCAGTTTATCTGCTCTACGTGACTACTCTATCACCGTTGTATCCGGCTTAGAATAGAAAGAATACTGAGGAAACCGATTCTTCCTATGACCTCAGTATCTGGGATCCTTTCCCGACACTTTACCGTTAATATTGTTTGGAGGTAGCTTGGGTGACAATGACTGAGTTGCCTTTCTTCGACTCCATAAACAATCTACGTCTCCGTCCCGTGCAAGGACGTTGTCGGCACAACAGTTCTATATATCCTCAGTTTTGTGTCGACAAAGATGCTGCAACGGTTCCAGATGGGATGATTTCCCCGGCCAAAGGCTTGGCGGAATTTAGAGAGCCGAATTTGATTTCGCTGTCAATCTCCACGTTTCTAGAAATCGTACTACCAATATACGCTAATTTCTACACCGCTGTGGGATAAGTTCCATCAACGTTTACGCAGGATTCGGTGTGGTTGGCATTTGGCGCTGGCTGGTACAGGCCCAGTGTCGCCTCCGTACTGATAGTCATGCCGAATTTGGAGCAATTGGAGGCGAATAGGCCTACATTCCGCCTCATGTCCTCTTTCTCGCACATTGTCGAAGGATGGTTGAGGAGGCCCTAGAAGTGCGCGGGTACGCGACCCAGCGCTTCAGGATCTGTGACTTCTCTGTCAGGAAGGTTGCACCATCCTGGCTCAGCAGTGGCACATTCTCCTTGACATGTGGACCGTAGACTGCTTTGATAGCAGCAAAGAAATTTTTCACCTCACCACAGCCGGCATATCCCTGGGCCTCCTTAGTCTTGAGAGTCAGCCAGTCGTTCGGGATTTCCCTCAGCCTCTGCTGTGCTAGCCGCCTCCATCGGAATATGCTGATTTACTGACGATTGGGAGAGGATTCCGTTCCGCACATACCTGCAGGTGGAGAAGGCCATTGGTATCGCAACTGAGATCTAATGGCAACCGAACATTCCCTCCCAGGCAGCGTGATCTGTGCTGAGGCGGGCATCGGGGTCACCAAGGACAATCAGTTTGTCCGTCTTTGGCATAGCTGCTAGGAGGGCGTGCAGGTCTTCATAGAACTTGTTTTTCACGTCACCGGAGTTGGTCACTGGTGGGGTATAGGATCTGACGATGATGGCGAATTTGCTCTCGCGGAGTGTCAATCTCATGATTATCAAGCAGCTATTGACGCCATGCGGCAGGCAGGACAGCCGTCACACGATGTCTTTACTGATGGCGAAGGCGACTTGGGCTTTTTATCGCCTTGCCTTTGGATGTGTGCTCCAGAGAACGATGTATCCGACATCCACCTTCTCCAGCTGGGTCTGCTCAGAGGAGTGAGTCAAGCGAGGGCCGCGATGTTCACCTTCTCCTTTTCGAACGGTAGATCATCGGATTTCCTTGAAGTAAACGAACATTCCGGGTCGCCAGAGTGACACTGTTCACGCTGACAGCTTCGAGGGGCACTAGAAAGGGGACGGCGTTTCTCGTTTTTTATAATTTTTGATCGTAATTTTTTGCGTCTACAAGCCACACTTAGATTGCCGAAGGCGTGTTTAAGGAGAAATTTAAGAGCACCTTTGCTGGCCCCCACCCTGCCAGGAATAAACAGTGCTATCCCTAAACAGGATTACTACGACATCCCAGGCTGTCGTTGAAGGTCAATATGCGTCAAGACTTTAGTGCAAAGACGAGCCGAGTTAGCCCGGGCTGTCTAGGAAATGGCATGTCGTCCTCTCCGCAGGACATTTCTGTTTCGGGGTTGAGAGGGAATGTTAAAAGCAGTTCAGGGACTACCGACCGTGAAGGCAGGTACACAATGGCCATTCTCATTTGGGTTGCCTCGCCTGTCAAAGAGGGTTACCAGGTTGTGACCGCTGTGCTAAGCACGACTTCGTGGGAGTTGGGTGCCGATACGGGGCGAAGCAAAAGTAGTCCCCAGGACTATTCATTCGGCGGAGACGGTCAGTATACTGCCTATAGGTGCTTCTTAACACAATAGTCGTGCCTGCACTACCAGGCCCAGTTGGCGTTGCCTACTCCACACCTTCGTACATGGAAATTGTCGGAAGCGCATGTGTAGCAGGTCATAATAGTCCAAACCCATCGATGAACCTGGTGCGACCGTACAAATACAATGCGGGTTCCCACTCACGACAGCTCGTACACCACACGCACTTAATACTAGGGTGGCGAATGGAGTGCTCTGGTGGTAGGTGCGATAGGAGATGTCCGATGGATGGAGTGTCACTGCTGACGCTGCCGTTCGACAGGATATGATCATTGAGGGTGGGAAGAGGCTAACTGGATGTTAGGCAAATGGCGAAGATCCAAGAGTAAAGTTGTGGTTGCAAAGAAATTTGTAGTTGGACATAATGTGCGTGGGTCTAGTTGGTGCAGCCATTTTGTGGAGTGTTCCACCTATGTTGGTCGACGTTGGAGACAAGCATCGCTGGATCAGGTTGTCCAAGGACACATAGAAGGAACTTTCCGGATGTTGGGGGGAGGTTTAAAGCAGTTCCATAGTCATGATACAGTGAATTTGCGGATGTACAACCAAGTTAATGGGTGGTTGTAGGAGGAACAGGTTGGAACTGTTCCGACATTGTTATCAGTTGCCCTGATGGCATAAGTAATGCGGTTATTAAGCGTGAACCGTAACCGTAACATATGGAGGCTACGCGATGGAGTGGGTGAAGTTTCTTAAAAAATGACAGCGTTCTATAAAACCGGAGCGAGTTAGATGTTTTGACATTGTTGTGAGTAAGAAGGCATGCAACAAGGTCAAATCAGTGCTTGAGCGTGCGCTCACAGTAGGGCTATTGCCAAAAAGGTTTTGAGTCACTATATCCAAATCCTTTTTCCTTGCCTCTTTACCCTAGCCTCTGCAATCGGTCCGTTTAGAAAATTTCGTTGCTGGCTATTCAACAATATTTCCAAGTTGCTAGACATATACAGGCATTTTCCAGAATTTTTGTTAGCTTTGAGACCACTGGGTGAGGTCTTGTGCGTCGCTTTTTCGCGAGAGACCGTAACGGAGTCCCTGTTAGGTGCTCATCGGCTATCCTCACGATGCTGTCATTCCATTGATTTAGACTCTGCATCAGTATGAAAAAGCCGATGAGCATGTCAGTCGATTCCATGATCCGGGATGCCAAGGATCCGCTCTGACCAATGCATGCGCGGTATCCGCCGAAATTAGTTGAATTGGAACCGGCTCACTTCTTCCGCTGGCCTTGAAAAACAGTCTTGGTCTCTACCCCATAAAGGATCCTTTTCAGAATGGCAATCCTAAACGTCCTCAGCTTCATGCTGAGGAGGATGCCGCGAGCATCCGAAACTGTTTTTGTCCTTGTTGGAAATATTTTTCGGGGTCTGAAACTGCACCCTACTGAAGGCATACCTGGCTCTAGAGATCGAGACCACAGTTTACTTGCCGATGTTGATTATTCTCGAGATGTTGATTCCCGTCTGGGGACTTTTGTCGACGGTCACCTTGCATATGAGGCAATCCGCAGTTGGCGCTGCTTGGTGCACAGCATCACCTTTTCCGTGTTGAAAGTCAGCACAAGATTTCCCCATCCGAATGAAAGACACTTTTGATGTGTTCTATATTTATTCTTTTAATGACCTCAAGTATCCTGTCGTCTTCAGAATAAAGTTCTTCTCTCCTGGCCTTAGATCTTTTGATTTATCTCGTTATTTGTCGACTGTCGAGTAACTATCCATTAGTCGGGCAGTTCATGTCAATCCAATGCTGCTTGTTCCATTATACGTCCATCAGCACTGTGGACTGCCGGTGACTGAATTGCTCATGCCTGCCTCACTCCAATTGTCATATCAATTCTTTTTACGGTTGACGCATCGTCTGTGACCCTTGCAATTATGAAGTCCTAATTTTAAATGAACATCAGTCCGAAAATTTCACAGCATCAAAAAGTCGTAATTATTTGCCAGGTTCGTTTGGCCCACGTCTAGGGACCCTGTGATTGATAAATGCACTTTTAAAGCTGCACATCGTCTTGAAACTTTTTGAAGATGTCGTTCTGAGAAGTTGCACGTTGCACTGCGCTGCCGATATCCAAATGACCTGTTCCTTGGGTAAATTAGACCATTATGAAGAAGGCAGACAAAGACTGCGCCAATACTGTGGGCAATGTCTCAGAAATCACTGTAGACCAGTTGACTTTCTTCTCTTCATGCTGTTACAAGAAATCCTCCGCAGAAAACTCACCTGCCGGCCAGTACAGGTGACGAACTTGGTCGGTCTAAACTCCCCAAGTTACCTGCTCCAAACTTTTAACAGGGGTTCCTGACGCATTTTTTTGTGAATGCTAGTATTGACATCAGCTAATTTCGCCCTCTTTGACTGACCGCATATCATCCAACTCCTCATTTTCGTGTCCATATTTTACTAAAAGCTATGCTTATTTCTAGATTTTGGTTGGTGGAGGGTTGCAAATGAGAAGGGGCTAGGCAGATTCGTCACAATCGTGAAATTTGGCTATTTTCTCGCAGAATCGATCTCAGTTAAATTGGTCAACACACCTTCTGAATGCGGTCACCTCGATCTGGTAGTCAAACATCATGATACACGTGTTTTATTTGTGAGTTAAGACAAATCAGTCGTGCAACACTAAATTAACCCGGACACTGAATAGACAACCGATCCTAAGGACTGTATTCTTGACATTTTTGGCCTGAGACTGCGGGCTGGGATTTGCGTCTTGAATCTGAGTTTCTGCATATAAAACGGAAATTAATTCCGTCACAAGTAAAAGCTCGGTTTTAAGACGCATGAAGCCGCCTAGAGGAACTTATCTGCAGGAAGTCGAAAGCGCTATGGAAATAAGGTCATAGACGAAAAAAAATTACATCTCTCAGGTCTCTGTATGCACATATTCCTAAATTATTTAAACTGCCTAAAATGCATAAAACTGACGTGTCGCTGCTCCTATTTTGTCAATGAAAATTGCCCTATGGCATGACGTCGAATAATGTTTGGCCAAACAAGTCGACCTATTTCGTTTAAATTTTGTTGTGTACGCAATGAAGGACATGTTTTCGTAAACGGTTTAAGAGTCTTTTACCCATGAGACAGGTATAAGATTTTACTGAGTTTGTAGAGTCTCTACATCAATTTGAAGCTCGCTGAAGGCATTGAAATAATATATCATCGTGAGTTTTAAGTACACTTTAAACCATGGCAGTTGCGTAGCTTAGCACAGTTGTATACAACACGCGTTGAGTCCTTTAATGAACCGTTTTGTAGGCCAACCAATGGAGTAACCGTAGACAGTTCATCGGGCTCTACTGAAGGGGGTATTACTGAACCAAAATTTGTCAAAATCCTGAGAGCTGTGTTTTGTATCAATTTTATTGGTGACATTTCCGCGTCAATAGACGGAAACATGCAGACTACGTGAAAACATTTAATTAATGCTTTAACATTAGCGTATGTTAACTTTCTTGTATCTTCTTATGCACAAGGGAAAGTGGGTTTGTCTACATACCCATTTATCAGGAGTCGCCAAGGACAGTATCATCGCCTGCAGAGTATTGCCCTCATTCAGGAGAAGATAAATTTGGCGTTCCGGCACTTTACTCCTCCCATATAAGTGTAATCTTCCTAAATTCGTATTGAGGGAACAATTTCCTCAAGGACATCTTAGTGCATACAGAACTCTTGTCATGCCAGGAAAGTATGAGTAACGGGATTACCCGTCCCGACGATACACTCAAAATCACCTTCCCATTCAAGCGTAATAACTTTCCCAGTATAATCAGGGAAAGACTCTGTAGCACGATTAGGCAGACATGCATTACCGCCACCCTCGTGTTCATAACTTGTAGAAGAACAGTTCTGGTCGGGTCTATCAAAGACGTCCCCGTTTTTCTGCGAATTTATATGCAGTTGTGGATTCAAATACATTGGATTATGCAAAAACGGTTAGCAGTCCGTAAGGCCGAACAAGTGCTAAAGTGGCTGGTAAGAGCAGAAAACAGGATGCAGATAAGCTCGGTGAGGAAGCACTTTGTGAACACACTATCTCCACTACCGTTTCGAAGCCGGTGTTTAAAATCCGTTTAGGCGCGGTGACAGCGCATCGTCTAGGTAATTCGGGGGGTCACAGAAAAGCGGAGGGGCCAGTCATTGTTCTGCGAACTGCTTCATCACATTCCCAACTTCGTACTGTCCTGGTGGTCAGAAAGGGGTAAACGTACCCCCTCCCCCTCCATCGCGTTCACCGGCCTCACCCTATGACCTCTTCGTTCAGTGATTTTGTCTCGTTTGAATTCCCTATCCTGCCTCCAAATACCGTGTGCATAATTCTAAACTAAACAAGGACCGCATACACTTACTTTTGCGTCGCGCAACGGCAAAAAGATTTGCAAGACACGTGCCTGGACTTTTAGCTTGTACGTACGCTCCCAGTATGGCGTACCCTTCAAATTCTAAAGGCAATTTGGCGAGCATACGTCTGCTTTCGATATACTTTCTTCGGGACTGTACATTTACATGGCTAGTGAAGTAGTGAATTAAAAGATACGGGAAGTAGATAACTAGGCCAGATCGCAGCTGGTAGCCTGGCTCCGTATTACAGGTGGCTGGGGGGGGGGTTGTTTACTGGGGCTATTTTGTGGGGTTCCATAATCACATCAGACCCATTTGGCTTCGGTTTTACGTTTAAGGTTAGGATTCGGTTACCGGTTAATGGTTTCCGATTTTCGGGTTAGGGTTATGCCTTTAGGCTTAGGTTTTCGGGGTACGGTTAGGGTATGAGCGTACGATTAGGTTTCAGTATTACGGTTAGGTTTTCAGTTACGGCTATGCCTAAGGGCTTCGATTACGTTTACGATTTGGGTTAGGGTTAGTGTTGCTCTTAAGGTTAACGGTTAACGTTAAAGGTTGAGGTTAGGATTAGGGTTAAGGTTAGGATTAGAGTTATGGTCACCGTCCGCTTCCCCATTCCTGGCTACCAACTGCGATCTAGTCCGTTTTTGTTTGTTTTGAAATCACTGCTTAAGTAGAGTTATGCAATTAAATATTTGCGGCATAATTCTATAACATTTCAGTTACCTGAGGATGCCGGCTTTCGAGTAGCTCGAGTATGGGGAAGGAAGGGGAGGGGGGAGAGTGGAACCCCAAAATTTTAGTCAACGGCGGAAGAAGGTGGGTCCCGGTGAAGGTAATTATATGCGGGTGGCTGGCTTGGTGGCTTTGAACCATGGCAACTGTCGGACCTGTGCTCCAGTCTATTTCCGCCATACCGGAAAATGTGTGTTAATAGATCGGGCAGGCCTAGATGACCTTAACCCAGCATTATTATCTTCTTGCCCGTATTTTTTAATCCATTAGTTTAATAGTCATATAAATGTACAGGCCTGAAGAGAATTTGTCAAAAACAGACGTGTGCTCGCCAAAGTGCCTTTTGAATTTTCCCATGGGAATTTTCAAAACCCTTCAAATTCTGCCTTGTTTGCAACATTCGCCTTTTTGTAATGTCGTCCGTAGGGAATGCTTTTCAACCGACTTAAAGCATACGTATGTGGCAATGTCCCCAAGCGCCTGCACACGTAATGGATTCAAGTGTTTTATAGTGCAATCAAGTGCTTTTTTATAAGTTGATGGATAAAATAGAGAGACAAATCCAAAAGATTCACAAAGATACATCTGTTTTTCGTTCAAAAGATCAGCGACTTACCAGAGTTCGTTTTCGGCTCTCTTTATTAGTTGGCGCAATCCCTCTTGGCACCATCTTACCGTGTCCAGTTCCTTGAGCAGACAGATGCAATTGAAGTAACGAACCAACAATTGTTCGAAGATTTAGATTTAATTATAAATTCATATACAAGATAATTTTTAAAAAATGGCCACTACAAGGAATCAGGTATATCGTAAAAAGCCCCCTGGTTCCATCTTGATTTACATCATCCTTTCGGATTCAAGACGACTGTGCTTTAATATGAAGCCGAACAAATTATTGGTTGGCGAAAGACAATTTTCAGTATTTAATCAGCTAGCTAATGTAGCTATTTTTAAACCGCCGAAGATGTTTACTACGATATAGTGTTCGTTCGTGAATGACAAAACTGACCGTGACAGGCTGTTCGCATGCATTATACATTGTTGCTTAGCAACTTTTCTGTCCTTCATATGATATGAATTCCTTTTTATTATCGTGTCGGACTGTCCCGATGTAGATCTATGACTCCGCCCGTCATGTTGGAGCAACATACATTAGTCGGACGTCTGATTTTCCGCAAAACAAGCCAAGAAAACCTGTCGCCGTGTCTTGTACCGCATTACGGAAAAAATGCTTATACTCTGCCCATGGACACCACATTGACAACGGTCATCTGGTACCGGCTGTCAAAAAATCCTGCTAAGCCAACACATCCCGCCGACGATAGAAGCAATGGTAACGCGAAGAAATTACTCTATCGTCTCTGTCTTCTCCCCTTCTCAACCCCGTCTAAAACTAATCTTCGAATCTGTTAGTTACCCTAACCTTTTTTTAGGCCTGTGTGCTTTATTCCCATAACAACCGTGATGGCTTGAATAAGAGGTACCAAAAACGATCGTTTTCCGAGCCACCTTCGACGTGATGGATAGATTGTCATTTTTCGTTTTTCACAATTAGTGTTGAAGCAGGATAGTCAGGTGTGGGCAGCCGGCTCAATCAAAGAGATAAGTCGGAGTGTGAGCTGTCTACTGACGCAAAGTTGTTTGATAAATCGCAGACCCCTTGGGACTGGCCAGAGCTTGCGAAGGACAATTATTTGAGGGACAAAATGCCGCACTAACGGATAAGAGCTCGTGAAACGGATACAGTATCCTGGGTCTAAACTGCAAGCTCCATATGTAGTTTTGTCACCTAAACAACAGCATAAACACATCGTGGACATCTTAGAACAGTCAAACGATGAAATTGTCTTAGAAATGGCCTTAGCCATTAAATTCGGCATGAAACTACGTGTCTTGATGAGGAATACTTCAAAACCTTTACTTTTGAACCAGAAGCTTACTGGAGGAGCTAAAGGCGCCGGTGACATAAATAACTCAGAAGTTGCATACAGAGTTAGCATTCAGAGGAATAACTCGGATGTTTAGCATTAATCTTTCCTTCTGTCCGACGAGACGTAAAAGAAGGCGATTTGCACCAATTAAACACAATCGGCCGCAGCGAAATGTCGCCTTTGTGAAAATTAAAAATTGCATCTATCTTGACAATTGTTGGTTTATCCTATTTTAGGGATCTGGAAAGAACTGGTTCGGTATATTTTTTGGGGGGGGGGGGTAATGAGGTGTTTTAATACGTTGTAAATGGACGTTTCGAATCTGCATTTTAACACTGACAACATTCTTCCGTGATCGGGAAGGAACCTTCATCTACAGGTAGAATGGTGATGTTTTGCCTTTTTAATTGAATTTGGTTATTACCTACAAACCGACAAAAACTTTGTGCGTCTAGTTTGTATACCACAAGGACAGGGTTGGTTATTTCTGCAGTAAGGAGGAAGCTTTGAAGTCTGATGCACCAGTTGGGATGCAGTCTATTTCTGCTATACCGGCAAATGCGTATGAATAGATCGGGTAGGACTATATTGACTACAGAAAATAAGTCAGAAATGGCCAACCCAATGTCATCTGTGGCTCCACAAGACCTTGATCAGCACAGTGGCCGCACTTCAGTTATCGTTCTTTATCGACGGGCTGGATCAGATGAGGATGTCTAGAGCGGACGTCCAGAAACAGAGCCATATGGCACCAAATTCGCCTTCACCATCAGGAGCGACGTCGTGGGAGAAATACTCTGCTTGCCACAGAACTCCCGTGTGAACGTCTCACGACTTTACACTATCTGCCTCTTAGCAGGAGCAAATTAACTACCGTCGTCAGTGCCTACGCCCTCCACTCAATGACCAATCGTGACATGAAGAACAAGTTCAACGAGGGCGGGCGCGCTTTCCTAGTGACTGACATACTGACATTGGTGACTTCAATACCCCCGTCAGCACAGACCATGCTGCCCGGGAGGGAGTGCTCGGTCATCATGGGATCGGCTATTGAAACGTAAACGGTTGTTTCCCCTGCAGGCCTGTGCGAAACACAGTCTTTCCTCGGTCAACGCCTCCTTCTGTCTTCTGATGCATGAGGAAGCGACGTGAATGCACACTCACTCGCGTCGCTGGCATCTGCTGGACTGCGTTCACATCCGAGGTGTGACCGCGATATGCTAGTGACCAATGTAATGTGTAGTTCACACTGCTTGACGGACCACTGTCTCGTCGTTTCCCGAATGAGATAGCAACTGCTACCCCACAGGCGTCCGCGAGGTAAGCGTACGCTAGGTAAGCTAAATACTATATTACTGGATATGGCAGACGGCCAGTTAGATTCTAGCAATCGCCTGACTTTCCGTCTGGATCAAATTCAAGCTCCAGATACGAGCACCGTTTTTAGGACGAAATGAAATCAACTGCCGACTGTCATCCACTTCACTACTCCAGACGTACTCAGTCGTGCACGCCGTCACCTGAAGGACTGGTTCGATGGCAATGACAAGGAGGTCCGCAATCCGCTCTTCCAAAAGGGTAGGCTATACGCGACTTACGCCACTCATGGACTCGAGGTCGACATGGCGGCTTTCTTTCGATGTCGAAGCCTGACGTCGCAACGAATCAGGGAGATGCAAATGGTTAGGATGGCTCTCAAGATTGAGGGAATTCAAAGGTATGCAGACCGCAACAAAATGACGAACTTTCTCTTTTCCGTTAAGGCGGTTTGCGACCACAAATCAGGGCGACTTTGCCACTACCCGTCTCGATGAATAAATTCCCCCAACGGAGGTATTGAAAATTCCGGAGCTCTAGGCTGAGCACTTCAGAGACGTCCTCAATTAGCCCTCTACAGTCAGCGGAAAAGCTATCAAACGTCGACCGTCCACTCTCGCTATAAATTTGTGGACCAAATGGCCAGTCGAAAAGGTCTGTGCGCTAACTCACCCTCAGTTGTAATCTAGAAGTCACAACTCATGAAAGAACTTGCTTAGCTATTTTAGGAGATGTTGCTACAAGTACATTTCTGAATGCGTTATGGGTGCCATCATGGTCTTTACATACAATGGCAAAAGAAGCAGACAACTCTGTGACTATCACCGAGTCATCTATTTCCTCAAAACCAGAAGCGTTTTCTTTGGTTACGTCTCGCCCAATCGCCCACATCTTCACCGGAGGCAAAAAATCCTCTCTAAAAGCCAATATATATATATATATTGAGAAGAAAAGGCGATCTCGGGAACCACAGTTTTATATATATGTATATATATATATTATGATAGTGGGCGCTCACCGATCAGGTTACGGAACATGCTCGTTCCGTTGTGCCTTGGGGCTCATACTAGAACCCTCGCAGGCAGTCGCACAGCGACTAGTAGTAGACATAGATGAGATGGAGCCGACAAAGACAAGGGAGACCGGAATGGCCATTTCTGGCTCATTAGCCGTCATCAGCCAGTCATACCCAACCCCAAGCGTGGATCACTTGAGATTCGAACCCGGGATCTTTGGTCATGGAGTTTGACGCTCTACCATTGAGCCACGGGCAGGGAAGTGCAGAAACATCGACATGGCTTTCGCTGCCAGCCTACCAAAAAACGAGGACCAACCTCTATACCATTTTCGCAAATTTAACATAGACGCTCGATGTGGTCGACCGCTATGGACTCCGGAAAACCAAGTCGAAGTTAGGATGTATGGAACGTTTTATGAAGATAGTGAGCCAATTACACGACGGTATGGCGGCACGCGTCACAGACAGGGGCAGTCTGGGAAGCATTCGCGCTAGCAAATGAAGTAAAGCAGGGTTGTGTGCTTGTTCCCACCCTCTTCAATTTCGCATGCTCCTCAACGCTGAATGAAGTCTATTGTGAGGAGCTGCCAGGAACCAACATCGCCTGCCGTACTGACGAACAACTGTCTGATATTTTACGTACACAGGCAAACCACATGAGTCTCCGTGACCGCTATTCATGATCTTCTTGTTCGCTCGACATCGTAGCGGAAGTGGACATGTAAAGGAACATGGACCTCCCAGTCTCTGGCTGCACAAACTTCGGCCTGATCATAAACACGAAGATGGTAGTCATGCATTAGCCACCATCAAATGATGAGCACAACTAGCCTTTAATCAGCATGAACGGAACTTGCCCGGAATTTGTAGACAAAATTTGTCCATTTGCGCGGTATGATTTCAAGAAATATCGGGCTCTGCGACGAAGGTACAAATCGGATCACGAAAGTTAGCCAAACCTTCGGCCAGCTAAAAGCACTCCGTCTGAAATCACTGCGGCATCCTCCTCAATGCAAAAGTGACGACGAACGTAGCTGTTGCTCTGGCAACCCTCCGACTCAGGGGCGGAAATATGGAAGACAAGGAAGAACAATCAGCTATTTCACCTCAGCAGCCTCCGGAGAACACTGAATGTGGAGTAGTTAGAAGGGATGTCCGGCATTGAGATCCCGGAAAGAAACGACATCTTCCCTGCTCACTCCATGCTGAGACAGATACAATTGCGATGTTATGACCACGATGCTGACAGGCGCCCACACAACGGCTATTAAACGACGTTGCTACAAGTGCTCATGGACAAAACGGAAAGTGACACTGTTACAGGGATATCATCGAGACTTTCCCCGCGCACCTGCAAATGAATTCTTGCGTCTTGGGGTACCTCGACCCGAGACAGCAGGTGTGACCCACTTTCGTGAAAACTAAGGCCGCAAGCTAAGACACCCATCGTCTGGGAGAGCCAAATCTAAGAGCGAGGCGCGCAAATCTGAAGTACCACGAATCAACGCTGGAAACAGCCAAAACTCTTTGCCTCAATCCTGCGTGCTGCAGAAGGGATACGTGGGGTATTGTTAAGGGTATTCTTTGTCTCGTTACGGAGGTCGGAATCAGAAACACATTTTTTCACTATTAGACAAGCTAAAAGAAATCTCACGTGCTATCCAGAAATATATAAAGGCGTTATTCTTACCGCTAAGAGTGACTTCTCGGCAACATCGTGAACCAAATCAACGTCCTGTCGTTTCTCACGGTAGTAAAGACACTCTTGCGCGATTTGAGCCTGCAAATCGGTTTTTTCAAATAATTTTTCTAGTGATCGTTTTTGTCTATCCAGTTTCTGCCATTCCTCAACGTTCAGTCTGGATTCCCATTCGAGTTCGCCCAGGCCGAAGTGAATGTCGATCACACGGTTTTCTACAAAACGAAAAAAATTCGAACAGTTGTCGCCGAGAAACATGCAAGACCTACTTGGCAGGTTTCCTTAAGCCTCTTTACTGATGCCGTAATGTTATCCTCATGGCTGAGGTCATTTCTTGGTATTTCTTTTTATTTGTAAAAGATAACAAGATCATCTACTTCTATACATTATTTATATTCCTGATTTTAGGATCATAAGCGTGAAGTGTAGTGCGATATCCGACGCGATGCCACACATTTGTCGGGTTGTTACTCAATCGAATCCCGCTTTTAATTTTGTTTTATTAGGCTTCCTGTCAAAATGAATTTTTCCTAGGTTGTGCAATTTTTGGCGTCTTTAAATTCGGCGAATATTTTTACTAAAACCAAAGCGATCCGAAATTGGACAAAGGTTCTTGCGTAGGAAGTCCGACGAGCATCGCGCTCGTAACTACGATCTTCTATGGAAAAAAAGGAAAATGTTGCATCATTAAACGTTCTTCCAGACAGGACTAAACCACGAACCTCAAATGCTTTACTTCCTGAGTCGATGTAGCGATGCCTTTCAGACAACCCAGAGCTTTGTCCTGCCCTCTGGACGATCTCTTTAGTGTAAAAGCTGGGCAGGGTCGAGACACTACATTTTTGTGCATGTTCTTGGGACTATAATTTAGAGTCTAGTCTCAGGCAACAAAAGTAGAAAAACACAACGGCACGAACGTTTTCATATTAGCTTCCGACGATACACCGTTCTGATCTTTTGTTCAGTCCGTAGCCTAGATATAAAACTGGGGACAGTTTGACGCCCAGTTAACGAGTATGGGTTATTTGCAGTTGCCAGGAACGATGTACATGAATGGTGCTATTCAAACCACGGAATACTCGACGACTTACGCGGGGTTTTAAGTTGCTCTCAAAAACCACCGATAGCCAGTCAACGACCGTACACATCGAATGAAAAGTGAAAGATTTAAAGTGGTTAGAACCATTTCTTTGCAGCCTATGAGCATAATTATTAGGTGCTCTCATGAAGGATTCAGTGCGTTTCGGGTCTTACTAAATTTTTCCGTCCATGTATAAGTGGAAATTACTCTGTAAATGTCGATTTTTGGTGCTTCTGAACGTCGAATTTTGAAGCATATATTTACACCACTACTCACTCATTAGCAAACGGATAGGTTGGAAGAAGTTACGATTATGTAAGTGACTGCATTTTTCATATTATATCTGAATGGGTGACAGGAAATTGTCGTAAAAATGCTCTTTAGTCACATGCTTTTGTGTACATGGAAGCACCTTCAGAAAACATCAAAACCTGCGCTGGGTATGGCTTGCAGATCTTTCAATTTTGTTCGTATAAATGAAACCTAAATGACATAATAAAGCAAACCTAACCCTGAGATTTAGCCTTACGATCAATTACTTGAATAATCTGCTCAGAAAGCCAACTGGCAACGACAACACGGGAGTTCATTTCCTCCGTTTTTCAGGTGATTACACCTTCGCCTACATTGCTCACACTAAGCCTAGTATGCTTCTGGGTAGATGGGCGTGCTATGCACTTATCCAAAAACTCGAATGTTTTATTTTAGTACCAGAAGATGGCGTATGTCTTAATTGTTGTTATTACCACAAGATCACAAAAGATTCATCGCGAGTACAATCAATGGCAACGGAACAATAGACCTGAATTGAGGTCAACATTGGTGACTCCATGACCTCAAATTTGAGGGGCCCTGGAATCTGTAGCGTGAGGTCAGCGGTCAATGGATGATTTCGCAAGACCGTAAGAAAACAAATGCATCTTGTTGGATTTACTTTATTCGTGAATTCAGAACAATTTGTTGCCCATTTGATAGTCGGTATTCCTGGGAGGGGCCCAATAGCAACAAAGCAGAAAACTGTAAATCCAAAACTAAAATTTTTCACAACAGCACATTGCTACTGAGTTGCTGAAAAACGTAAGGGTTACTGAAAATGCCGAGTAGAAAAATTCGTTCCTGTGCAGATGCTTTTCTGAAAAATATAGACTGAACATACGTTGAGAATTATAAAGGGAACATAAAGCCATAATCTACCAAAATCTATCGGTCAACACATCTCACTCAGGCAAATAATTGTCTCTTGTGCGCATTTTATCATTTAATATATGCGGTAATCGATCCTCCAGTTAGATGGCGCAATCACACAGTATGTTCAGTTTTATGTTGATATCTTAAAAACACAGCGTCCTGAGGAGAGCCCATAGGAGTCAAAAAACGTGCTCAGCCTCAGATCAAACACCCTACAATAACAAAATGACGACTTTTCCACAAAACCTCGTGGATTTTATTAAATTAATACTTATACGCGAAATGATATCCGGAATAGTTACAATGTTTCGTGGCTTTAGACAAAAGGTAGAGTTCATCTTGGTCAAAATCTAGTCAGCAACTGGTTACCTTAAAGGACGAGGGCTCGGAAAATTGTGAAATATGGGAAACAATGATAGGCAGTAAGGGAATGAGATGGCAGAGTAAATATGCGCAGCGGTTTGGAAGCCCAATGATGTTAACTAAGAATTAAATATAAACAAGTTAGCTCTCACAGAATTTGATGGATAGATCCTTGTGATCTGAAAATGGACACTTTAAATTAGCCGTGAGTATGTGAAGAGGCTTGACAGTCCAGGCGCAGAACGCGTTTCAGTTTCCCCGAGAATCAAATGCCATAGACCATAGTTGACACAACGGTACTGAGTGTTTCGTCCAAAAATATCTCAGTTATCATAAGTTCTTATGATTCAGGCCAATTTATAACGAAAAGAAGACATTTTTTGACCGGAATATAATATTCATCGATTAAACAAACCATACTCTCTCACAGCCCGACCGAACGCACCTAGAATCGAAACACTACCGCATGGGCGCTGATCCAATCTTCGCAAAATGTCAATTAGCGAGCATCGTGTTAGAAAATGTGGTCACCCTTATCATCGGATGCGAATACTGCAGTCTTAAGGCAGATTTTCACGTTTTCAGCCGGCATATTCCCTCAGGTTTCACCAACTCAAGAATTCGCAAGTGTAACTGCAGGATGTTTTCAATCTCCCACATGTTTATATGGCAATTCGGTTGAGTTTTCTGGACCTTAATAAATAATGGCATCATGTCTTTTACTTCCTCATAACTTCTAATATGATCAACCTGAAGCAACATCATGTAGGTAATTCGCCCTCGAAAATGTTCTTTTTATCTTATCTGCAATGTTAACGTGGCAGGAGTTCTAAGCAGTGCGTTCCCTTGACTGAGTTTACCAACGGACATACTGAATTAGTCCACTCGACAAAAAGAACACAATTAAATCAAGCCCTTTCTTGGATGGTATGGATAGCACTGCCTAATCTTGTTATAGGCCTCCCCTACCTGGCCTTACGAGCCCCTATTAAGGGGACTTTTCTTTCACTTTTCCATAGTGGTATAATTACGGTTGCGCCCACGGCTCAAAATTCCATTATATTTATGACGCATACAACCAAGTATATCAACCGTTTGAGTCCTAGCAGCCTTCCGCTAAAAACCAGCCACACGAGCCTTACATACACCATGCAGTCAACATCACAAGTCTGCAGTTTGTTACCCAATATGGTTGTAAAATCTGTTGTTCGCATAAGGAAAACTCTGTCTTCTAATAAGCCCAGTAACACGTATGTTTGCTCTTCTCTACTCATCTTTGTCTTTATGTGCAAAATACACAGCATGGAGAAAAAATGATAATTTGCATCGTCTTTGTTTTCAAAACTTGTAATTTTACTGTCTATTTAGCCTAACTTTTCTCAGACCATTAAAGGAAGCGTTATTGTTACCGCTAGCAGCCCGGTTTGTGAGTAGAGATTTGTTTTCACACTCTCTTTCGGTTCCTATACCATTGTCAAAACACGGATAATTAAATGCCCTGTGTACGCTCCCAGTTTAATGCCCGTACAAAGCACGCATGTGCACACTCGCATGCGCGCATTTGTTTGAACCCATCCGTTTAAATTCCTGCTTCTTAAACAGTGTGTTAGGCTTAGCCAAATGGACGACAAACACTGACTGCATGAGATTGATGTCAAAAGCTACCCCTTCCTGTTCTAGTTCGTAGTGTCGCAGTAGTCTATTGACCAATATTATCACCTTGGTTACACAACATGCATTTTTGGAGGGCTTTGCGCAAACTCACATCCAAATAAGCACATCTGTAATATTATTTGGCTCTTCGCATTACTTGGTTATTGATATCGTGGACGGTGTATAAATATTATTAACGGATTTCGTAGGTCCCATTGCTGCTAAGAAGGATCGCACCGATCGAACACATTGGCGATATCAATCAGTAAGCGCTGGAAGTGTTCCACACTCTTATGCCATTCGATGCTATTCCTTTATCGACTTCCAACGTTAACTGTATCCTCTCATAAATGTCCTGACTCTTGTTGTTGTCTTCTTACCACTCACAATGAACTTCCATATTAGCATCAAAATTCTCGCAAATAAACCGTTTGTTCGATGTTAGACAAGTCGGTTGGATACCAGTGTCGCAACACTCCGTTACTGATGCTAGTATTATTGCAGTTAGTTACCCGTACTGTAAGCGTTGGTAGAGTAGCATTGGCAGCCGTGGTGGCGGTGGTGGTAGTAGTAGTACTTATAGTAGGATTATTAGTAGTATTCGCCGTATCAGTGGTGGTAGACGGGGGAAAAAGTTTTCTTCAGTGTTGCGACACTGTATTCCCGCCAGTGGTAGTAGTATTAGTAGTAACAGCGGTAGTAGTGGTAGTAGTAGCAGTAGTAGTGGTGATGGTAGTAGTAGTAGTATTAGTGGTAGTAGTAGTAGTCCGCCCGTAAGACAGGCTGGTGGGGGATAGACAATTCTAAGTGTTGCGACACTGTATTCCCGCCGAAAAGTCGTCTTCATTAAAAGAGATTCGCAAGTTCTTTGGTATTCAACTTCGCACTTGAAGTGTCGTAATCTTTTGATGTATCATTTACATAAAACCATATTATATGATCGCACATTACGGACAACAGTTTAATCATTTTAATGACGGGCCTTGACAAATATAGACGCTACATAGCCACTATTAAGAAAGACTAACGGACAAGTTCCTCATGTGGATCCGGCAAATTATTATTGCTTAAAGTATATTAAATTGTGAACGTATTTCGAACAGTAATACTCGCAAACGCCAAAACTGTCTTATTGAGTCTAGTATTGGCCTACGCAAACAAATCCGCTGTTCAGGACAGAAAATTAAATGCAGCGTAGTTTATAATGATAGTCAACACCTTCTTTTGCTTCAGATTGACCTTGACATCTCTTTTTGGCTCAAAATACGGCAACTGTGACCCACGAGGCTTAGTATGCTGGGAGTATCATTTTGAATTTCGTGAGGTCGTCAGCGAGTCAGATTAAGAGAGCAAAAATGGCTGCCAATAGATCCGTTTGCGTAATAAAAATTAAGTGGTCTGCACTTAGGTATTGGATGATCAATGAACAGGACTTTTAAGCGAAAGATTTGCAACTCACATGCAAAACATGTAGCAATGAGGGAGGTGCGGCTTCCTAATCCTATTACGCAAGGGGACAAAATCTTGGAAAAAAAGTACTTGGCTTCCTTCGCCCTGATATTATTCAGGACATAGCATTTTTATCAAATTACGCTTTTGCTGTCAAGTAGCTACTTTTGTTCATTAGGAGGAAGTATCTAAGGGTAGATTACAGAACTATGAATGGGGTCAAAGAACATTCCGTTCATGTTGGTGATTTCTCAACTTCCATAAAATTTGATCATACCACACTTGGACATTATGATATCTCTCGTAGTTGTGCATGATAAGTATGTGCCCCTCCAAACAGGACGATTTTTCTATCTTTGCAACGTGTAAATTTCCCTAAATATTTCTTTATGTATCATTGCTAATGGTCTGAATTATTTAAACTGGACATAAATAAATGAAGGGCCATGAATCGTAAGGTAATGACAGGTGTACCAATTTGCATTGCGCAATTGTCCTAATATCCCACGGTTGCATCAAAATTATGCCTAACATTACGCTAGTTTCAGCCCAATAACAACTGCTATTCAAACAGATTGACAGCCAAATCTAGATTTTCTGACGGAATTCACTCTTTAGAAATGGTCTGCTGACTAAGTGAAACATGATTTTACCCATTGCAAACAAAGCTCCTAAATCTAGTACCAAGAGGATAGTTTATATCATTTTTTTCACTCGCCATTACGAAAATAGGGCCGTTTTCCAAATTAAGTGTTTTTTAATGATTTCTAAGTGTCATCTAACGAATCCAATTGAATTCTAAATAGCTGCAGGCCGTTTAAAAAACCTTTTTTTACGAAACATTCCCGTTAATCTAACGCCTAATAATATCCTTAAAAATCGGCCAATTTTCCCACAGAAACATCTTTATCCCTAGCTAATGAAACGCAAAATAAAATAGTAAAACCCATTTACCCAAATGACGCTTGCTGTCGGCCTGTGCGATGTCAGTTTGTTCTGCAGTTTCGCTGGCCAGATTTTTAGAAAGGATTCGAAAGCGTTCTGATGCGTTTTGTTCGACCCGCAGATTTTCTAGACAGTTCTTATAAGTGGACAGCCAGAGAGCAGGTGATGATCGCGTGTATAATGCATCTCTGGCAAACGAATGTATTGAAGGCACCCTAAACTTCTCGAATTCCTTAAGAGTGCCCGAGGAAAAGTTTGCATTTCGCTCTGCTTTCGTCGATGGGCACTTGGAGAATGGCTGCCATGAGCTACTGACGGACTTCTGAAGATATGATCGAGGGCCGGATACGAAATTATGCGATCCCACAAGCATAGGACAAAAGTTAATGCGGCAGCTTGATTCAGATTTGAGACGCCTCCCAAAATCCTCCAGTGGTTTCACATTCATCCTTTTCCGTAAGTTGTATTAATATGCAGCTGTAATGATAATGTGTACAATATCAAGCCTGACAAATGTATGCAGCCAATATCTAGTGGGATTTAAAATTCAGACTAATCAGTTAAGATGTTATTAAAAATAACATTAATGACACGCGTTTGCGCAATAGACTATCAGCAACAATGAGCGATTCCTCAGCAAATGCTTGGAAATAACAATTCTAAAACTTAAAAATTATTGTTCCAACTCCTAGCACATTTAAGTATAAAGGAACTACAAGTCGACGAATCAAGCAAAGTAGTGAACACATGCGAGGATATAGCTTCCTCAGCATAGAGTACAGCGAGAAGAAAAGTTGGCACGATAATAAAAAAATAGACACCATGACGGAAGCATAAACTGCTCTTTCTAGTCAGCAGATAATACAAAAAGATACTGGAGATTACTCTTAACAGGATTTTGTTTTGTGTACATCCATGTTAAAATAATTTCCGTCCATTTGTTGCGGTAGTGGAACGTTAAGCATACAAGAAACAAAAGCAGGAAAAATAGTAGTTAAAAGATGTCATGCTGTTCCGAAAACGGCCGCAATATTGGGCACGTGCTCATGTAAGACTACTTATTTATTTGAGCACTGCCAGACGTGACCAAATAAGCCAAGTCGAACAGTATACACTAATCTATAATGCTCCAAATAAGTTTCGTCTAGATCGTGACTGTATTAAGATGTAAGAACTGAAGGCGGTTTAAGAATGCACGACAAAAAATATTTTAAGGTAAATCTAGTGCGTGATCAAGTACTCGAATACCAAAGGGGAAAGCACACTGTGAATGTGACTTTGCTTGGATTGATGGTTTCGCTAGATGAGTGATTTGCACAATCCTGCTTAACAAAACGGCCGGGATTCTTGCCTGTTCCATATGACTCCGTCCTAATTAGGACCGAGAAGTTTTACGGTTAATTAGGCACAGGCACGTTTCACGTATAGCTCACACTGTAGAAAGAGTCCAACAAAAGATCAATTCCCGTATTTGTTCCGGACGAAGCTTCCTCCTAGCTACCCTGCCAACACATGGCCTCCGGGACAATTCGGGGCTAGGCCCCCTATAGGGGTCGCCTGTCGAACGTTCAGACGATGTGGCACTATTTTCTCGCCATTATATATGTTATGAAAACTACAAATTCTCACTACGATACAGTTTGACATACGAAGTAAGGGGTCTAGGATAACAACCGTGATAACACGTACAGTCTATCTGACTTTTGGTGTCTACGACGCAAGCTTGATTTATAATTTCGAATGGGCGGTGTGGCCTTCAAAAGCTTTCGCTAATGGTATTAAAGAAAGAATATGCAATGATCATATTCACTTGCTTCACGCATTTTTCGAAATATCCATACACGTCGAAGCTCAGACCAATTCCAGAATGGGTTTTATAGTGAAACAAAAATTAACTGACCGGTGGAAATGAAACTAGACGCGACCAGCTGAAGAAACTGACGTCGCCTACAAATATCCATAAGTTATTTCATGTCGCCTCTGAATCATGATGAGTCTAATAAAGCCAGAGTTGGCACTTTTGATCTTAGCCAGGAGTATGCGAGAGTCACCTCTTCATTGTTATAGAAAAATTCTGTTTTATGGGGTTGTAAAAATATGGTCGGTTTGAAACTCAAACACAAATGGACAAAAAAGGATTTGTTGACAGATTCTAATGTTTCCTAATGTCTTCCTTAGAGATGATTTGTTGTAGACACAAAACAGCCATTTAGAATTATTTGTTGTAATTTCCCTTGCGTTTTTGGTATCTTGCGCCTGTCGATTTTTCACTATTTTATTCTGCTCGCATTTTTTGCAGTATGACTATCCTCACTTATGCAAATGTATGTACTGTTCCATTTTTACTGTAATTTACTCCAAATTTATTCCTCTCTGACGTTTTGCCGAATCTTCGGCTTACCCCAGACCATATGAGAGGAAAAGTCACTGGTCATCGGATGCCCTCGCCGATTTTATCAAGGAGTACAGTGATTAGGTCTTGTTTTCAAGCATTAAATGCGGTTCACGACACGTCGTTGACGCTAGGCGTTATGACCTACCCGCGTTTTATAATTGCAGTGATTGCCTACCATTGTCTGGGTTTATTCAGTATAGGTCGGTATGCAAGGTGGGTACGAAGAGACTTGGAAAACGATATTTACAGGCGCACAATGAACAGACAACGTGCTTAAGATTATATAGCGATATGGGTGCGTCATGTTTACTCTTGTCAATTAAGCAGTTGGCTATTACCTGACAGCTATCAAGTCTTCTTTAAAATGTGAGAAAAACTACCTCCGAACAAGAGAATAAGAAATTTTAATCCATTATTCAACCACATCGTGGTAAAAAAAGCTTGCCCGATTTTAAAGTTTGACGGGTAAATGTTACAAACAGTCAACCAAAAAGCTCCTCGTCAAAGTTAAAGTAGGATCTCCTGATCGCTCCTAGGATACCCATAGACTTTTTACTACATTGGCGCAGTGAGACGACAGTTTGAAAGTGAGCGTAGTCCATACACCTGGGTCTCCTAGCTCATTTACTGGCTCGAATTAGTGACCAACGATGAAATACTTACATTCGAATCTTGCAGCCTTTCTGCGCGTAGACCGTAACTGGTTGACTTGACATTTGTTAAAGCAGGGGTTGAGAAGCCATTCATCACATGACTGTTGCAATCGATCTAATTTGGTTTTCAATTTCAGCGCATCCCCTGGCTTATATATTGAAGTCAATATCATCGAATCATAATCGAACATTGTCATTCTTCAGGTCAAGCAGTACAGGCAATCGTTCACATATATCCAAAACAAAATAGGAACTTAAACACTCCGTTGGGGAACCCACTGTGAATGATTTACCATTCCGATTTGACCTCCCCAATCCAAACACGCTGACGTCCGCCTGTGAGAAAGTGAGCAAACCATTTTACTAGGCCGCCAGTCACACACATTTGACGCGGTTTAGACATCAGCCGTCCGTGCGGAACCCTGTCGAAAGCTTTGCTGAAGTCAATGCAGAATGCATCAACTGACAAACCTATTTCTAATGATTTCATCTAGCCTTCCATGGATGTAAGCAGGCGAGTGATGCAGAGTCGGCCGCTTCTAAATCCATGTTGATGAACATTAAGCAAATCGGTCTATTCAGTGTGCCCCATCAGGTCTGTTTTCATTATTTTCCCCATTAGCTCGCAATAAATGCTCGAGACCCACTGGTCTGAAGCTGTTTGGTGAAGTCTTCTCTCTCCCTTTAAATATTGGGCTTTCATTGGCCTGCCGAAGTCGTGTGGTCGACAATATAAAGATTCCCAATCAAAAGTCAGGGAAGACGGTTCGAGTTAGACAACCTTTACTGCCTAAGGAAGTGCGTACACAAGGGCTCTGTAGGCAGTCGACGCGAGCGCGCTCCAAGCAAGCTGTTGTTTGTGTCCGCCTTCGAGGTGTTGTCTTAGCGCGTGTGTGCGCCCTTCGTTGTCTCCACGTCGCCAGCTAATCAGAGTGGGGACAGCGTTGATTGGCTTCGAGCACTCGCGCAGCCCAGCAGCGTATCGGCATGGAGTGTGAGGCGGACAGGACGGTAGCATGACAAAGGCGGAGAGTGAGGAGATGCGAACTGCTACAGTACCCCCCGGCTAGACCGAAGGCGGCGCGTAGCGATGCCGAAGGAGCTGTTGATGTCTAAAAAACATGAGTAACGAAACGGTCAGGAAAGTGAACATGGCGTCCACTACGGGTGATATATACAGGGGGCACAGAAGTAGAGTGAGTATGGCTCGCGGTTACAGTGTTTTTGGTTGATGAAGGGGTAGTTGCAGTTGGGGGTTGTGGACATGAGGGCAGAGGAAGTATACGGGACGGAGAAATAGAGGGTCGGCGAGGCGGAACAGGGGGTAGGGGACCACAGGGCTCATCCGGAGGAGTGTCCGGGACGGCAGCTTTGAGACGGTCCACGCTTACGACCTCCTCGCGAGTGCTGCGTTAAATGCGGAAGTTCTTCGTCCCACGAGAGATAACTCGGAAGGGGCCATCGTAGAGTGGTTCCAGGGGCCGGCGGACTCGATCACATCGAAGGTAGACGTGAGAGCACGTAGCCAAGTCCTTCTCGAGATAAGACGGAGAGGCGGAGGACCTGGGAGGAACCGGGGAAAGTGTCCGCATAAACTGCCGGAGGCAATGCAGTAGGTTGGTGGGATCTTCAACCGCACCTTGTGGGGTTGGCGAGATCATCTCACCGGGGAGTCGGACGGTGGCACCGAACACCAGTTCAGTCGCGGAACAGTCAAGTTCCCGCCTGAGAGCGGAGCGGATGCTCAAGAGGACCAGGGAAGGTGGTCTGTTCAGTTCTCCGGATCGGCTGCGGCGCGTAGGGAGGCCTTCAGCTGGCGGTGAAACCGCTTGACCATCCCGTTAGCAGCCGGGTGATAGACTGTTGTCCAGATGCGGGTACAGCCTAAAAAGGAGAGTAAAGACAGGAAGAGATTAGACTCAAATTGGGCACCACGGTCAGTCGTGATTGTGGAGGGTGCACCAAAGATAGTAACCAAACGACTGATAACAGCCTTGACCACCGGTGGAGCAGCAGGGGAATTACTTCAGGCCACCGAATGAACCGATCCACACAGGTGAGGAGATAGGAACAACCATTGGACAGAGGCAGGGGGCCTACAATGTCCAGGTGAACGTGGCTGAACCTTGCACCAGGGCCGGGGAAGGTGCCAATGTGGGCCTTGTTGTGCCGCTGGATCTTGCTCCGTTGGCAGGCGATACAAGCCCATGTCCATGCCTTGAGGTCCTTGTGCATACCAGGCCAGACGAAGCGGTCGGAAACCAGCTTGTCAGTTGCTCGACTCCCAGGGATTTCCCGGGGGTTTAGTTTGTCAGTGTGGGAAAGAAGTGCAAAAGTCAACGGTTTCTAGTCAGTGAAAATGGTGAAGTCACGACCTTCAAGGGAATGCCGCAAATGCTTCACAGCCAGGTAAATGGCAAGTTGTTCACGGCCAAAGTTACTGTAGCGTGTCTCAGCTGGTAAGAGCTTTTTTGAGAAAAGGCAAGTGGTTGAGTCTAACCAGCAAAGTGTTTTTAAAGGACTGCACCTACGGCTACGGTCGAAGCATCTACCATCAGAGAGAGCTGAGCTTCGGGAGCGGGATGTGCGTGTAAGGTGGCATCAGCAAGGGAATTCTTGATTCTCTCAAAAGCAGTCAGTGCTTCACCAGTCAGCTCGAGGGGAACTTTGGGACCAGAAAGCATGTTGTTGAGCGGCAACATGAGATCAGCACAGTCCGGTAGAAACCGACGATAAAAGTTCACCACACCAAGAAACCGTTGCAACTGACGCTTCGAGATAGGGGGCGGGAAGTCCCGAATGGCGGCAGCCTTTGAGGGAAGAGGCCGAATGCCCTGGGAGTCAACCAGATGGCCGGGAACTTCTAGGGAGGGCACACAGAACACGCACTTGGACGGGTTGAGAACAACGCCAAATTGTTGAAGGCGGTCAAACACCGTTGTAAGATGTTCCATGTGTTCTTCGGTGGTGGAGCTGGCTACCAGAAGGTCGTCGATATAGGCATAGACAAATGGTAGGCCGCAAAGCACTCTGTCTACAAACCTTTGGAATGTCTGGGAGGCGTTCCGACGTCCAAACGGCATGCGCAAGAACTTAAAAGGGCCAAAGGGGGTGGTAACGGCCGTCTTCGAAACGTCGTCTGGGGCTATGGGAATTTGGTGGAAAGCACGGACCAGATCGATCTTCGAGAATACAGACTTGCCGAATAGGGCACCGGCAAAATCTTGAAGATATGGGACAGGATAGCGGTCCGGGACAGCAAAGTTGTTCAGGGCCCTGTAATCACCGCTGGGGCGCCAGTCACCAGTGGCGGCCTTTGGAACCATGTGGAGGGGTGAGCCCCATGGGCTTTCAGACTGACGGATGATGCCCATTTGAAGCATATGCTCGAATTCGGCCTTGGCGGCAGCAAAACGTGTCGGCGCGAGACGGCGGGGGCGAGAAAATACGGGAGGGCCGGTGGTCCGAATGTGGTGAACAACATCATGTGGTGGAATAGAAACGCTAAAGTTGGGACGAGTGAGGCCGGGGAATTTGGCGAGGTGTTGTCGAAATGGATTCTCGGGTTCAGGGTCCAAGACGGCAAGATGGCGGGAGGCGTCGGAGGAAGAGATACTCCGGACAGTGAGGTTGGTGGTTTTGTCGTGTAGACGTGACTGACGGCAGTCGACCATAAGATCGAAAGCGGAGAGGAAATCTGCACCGAGAATCGCACAGGGGATGTCAGCAACGACGAAGACCCAAGGGAAGGGCGCCGGAGACCGATGTCCAGAGAGAGGGAGCAGGTGCCAAATGTGGTAACCGGCGATGTGTTGACGGCCTGTGTGAAAAGACCGGATTGGGGCACCGACGATTAGCTGGTGTGGGTGGAATGACACTTAGCTGGGCACCAGTGTCAACCAAGAAACGTCTGCCACTCCTGGTGTCGCGGACGTAAAATGTGTGACCAGGGTTAGAGCCTTCGGGAAGATTGGCTGCACAGACCTTCCGACTGACCAGTTTTCCCGTTCGCTTTGCTTTGAAGTGAAGGAGCAGGGAGAGAAGCAGCGACGGGCTTTAGAACCGAAGGTAGTGTGGTACAAGCAGGTGGCAGCTGCTTTTGGACGGGCTGGATGTGAAGACTGAAGATGCGGGGTTGACGGCTTCGGTTGGCTCCGAGATGAGGGAGAAACTGCCTGCTTCTGGAGTGAAGCTATATCATTGGCCAGCTTGCTGAGCTCGATCTCTAACTGCGAAACAGGAGACGCAGGAGGAGTTGAGGGAGTTGAGAGTGCTGAAATAGACGACTTGGAAAAACCGTGCATCTCCATAAGCCGATCAGCCATCTGATTAAGTTGCGTGGCCGAAAGTATGCCGAAGGCGGGTGCCAAAATATGCTGCACTTCCGGTGGAAAGTTGTCCATGATCAGCGCCTGACTTTATCGTAGATTAGGCAGAAGGAAGATTGCTGTTCGCAATGACTCACCAATTGCCGAGATTCGGTGTGTCGACAATATACAGATTCCCAATCAAAAGTCAGGGAAGACGGTTCGAGTTAGACAACCTTTACTGCCTAAGGAAGTGCGTACACAAGGGCTCTGTAGGCAGTCGACGCGAGCGCGCTCCAAGCAAGCTGTTGTTTGTGTCCGCCTTCGAGGTGTTGTCTTAGCGCGTGTGTGCGCCCTTCGTTGTCTCCACGTCGCCAGCTAATCAGAGTGGGGACAGCGTTGATTGGCTTCGAGCACTCGCGCAGCCCAGCAGCGTATCGGCATGGAGTGTGAGGCGGACAGGACGGTAGCATGACAAAGGCGGAGGGTGAGGAGACCCGAACTGCTACAGGCCGGCTTCCAGTCAATAAGTAAGGCCTACGACTCCATGGACCTTTTGAAGATCTTAGAGGGCGTGTACACCATTTGATCTGCGAGTTCATACAGAACAGTTTTGTTGATGCCTTCCAGACCAGGAGATTGGGTTGGGTGATTGTATCTCTGACTCTATGAATTTTTTGGTGCACTATCTCATCAAAGGGTGGCTCTGCGGTGTACAGGACAAGAGGAAATCGGATAACGAATTCGTCTTATCAAAGTTCTCGAGTAAATTATTTCCCTGATAATCCTTTAAAAGTGAAATAGAGTCTCGACTGATTTGTGCCTTATTAACGTATGCAAAGAAGTCTTCGGACTTCTTGGTATTCTTTTGGCTACTTCTTACTGAAATGCTGCTCGTTTTCTCCTCAATAGATTTTGATATTTACTTTACTGTTTCTGAAATTCAGAGATGTGTGTGGACTGATGACATCTGGCACACCACCTCCATAATCTCCTTTCGTTCTTTGAGTTCCTTCTTATTTCCAATGTCACCCGCTGGTGTCGGGAAATCCGCCATCTCCTTTTAAGTGGACGAAATGTCTTTAGCAAGTACCGATTTAAACACTTAAATGACCCCAGGCGGTGATAGGGTCATATACATGCGCAGGGTTCCGCCTGTCTCACTCTTTAGCCCTTTCCTTTTGGAATTATCCCTTTTTCATATATTCCTCGCCTTTGCTGTTCGAATTTCGGGTACAAAATGACTATACTACCAAACAAGGACTCCATAATCACTTCGTCCTGCGGCCGTGTTAGAACACAATCCAATGATGCAGTTTTTATCCCTAGTCATGATGAGACCCAAACAGATTGACTGCTGTCCATT